GCTGAAATAAGGAAAATACCATAAAAACCGAAATGTACGACGCAAATCCCTTGTATTTCGGCAAAACAGGATGGCAAAAACACATTTACGCGGCAATAAAGTTTACAAGAAAGCCAAGAAAATTATCCAGAAGACCACAAAAAAAACGATTGAATGGAAGCAATGAGAAAACCCATTCACTTCAAAGCGTAAAGAGACGACGAACAATTAAGGTATACTCGGAGGGCTACGGAGTAGAAGGTGATAAAACGAAAAAATAGAAGAAAATGAAGGAGATAGAAGAAATAAAGACACTGTTTGATGCTCGAAGATAAATTCCCGGAACAAAACCGATGTCAATCGTATTCAGTGAGAGATAGCAATCGATAGAAACGCACTTCTCGCTCGGAGAGTAAAGGATGAATCCAAAGGAAAAGGAATCCACACACGATTTTCCTGTAGGATAAAATGGATTCCACGTCATTCAAGTGGTATGAAATAAAGCACTTTGCAAAAAATGACATTTTATTCAGGACAAAATTACAAAAAGTATGAGGTCGTATAACTGGAAAATAACTTCTGAATACTACTTCTTGCCTTCGACCATTATGACATGATAACCGAATTTCGTTTTTATAGGCGGATCAGTGTAGATCGGCTTGTCACAAGTACTTTTTGGCAATTCAAACGCAGCATCCTGAAATGGACCCACCATCGAGCCGCGAGTCATCCATCCAAGATCGCCCTGAATACGATGGATGACATGTCGCGAAAACCTAACACAAACACAGCACTCTCAAGTCGCTCCATAAGCTTTGACACTAAAGCAATAAACACCGACTAATCGACCAGAAGTAATTAAAATTGCCTGATCTTGGTATCATTCGATTGCGCATTTTCTTGCTAACATTTTGGCATACAACTCGCCTATACTTGTTTCAAGATGGAGCTACCATGGGAGCAAATTCGCTTGCTAATCATGCACGAATGGCGCGAAGGAAAAAAATGCTGTGAAGCAGCAAGCAAGGTTAATGGAGCTTGGGGCGATGATAGGGTCGCAGAAAGGACGGCTGGGAAGTGGTTTGCGAAGTTCGAAGCTGGACAGAACAGCCTTGCAGATCGGTCGCGCTCAGGCCTTCCACAGAAAGCTCCGTTAATCTTCCACGCCGCTTCACTAAGCTTTTTCTCATACGCGCCATTCGTGCGCGAGTAGCAAGCGAACTTATTCCAGAAACAGCTCCATCTTAATGTAATTATGGGCAAGTTGTATACCAAAATGTTCACAAGAAAATGCGCAATCGAACAGTACCAAAATCAAGCAATTTCAATCGCTTCTGATCAATAAATCGGTGTTTATTGCTTTAGTGCCAAAACTTGTGGGACAATCTGATAGTGGAAACGATTAAAATGGTGGTAGTCATTTACCCCAGATCGTGCTTTATCTTCACTATACTGAGCTGCTACCTCATGAAATTTCATGCCTGACTTGAGTTTCTCTATAGCTTCCAAGCTTTGCCCTAAAAAAGATTATTGTGGGACCACCGACCATTACAAGCCGACTGCATAAATGTTGTCAATTTTTTTTCTTCGACTAGCGGAATGAGATCAAGAGGCTAAGCTGATAGGTTGAGGAGAAAGTTCCCGGAATTTGCCCTAATTTTAACATGTTCGCATGTTTTATATGCGATTTTCACATGGTTTGAAAGCTCGTTTTCTTGCGCATCGATTGATATATAACTCTTCTATACTGCCGCAAGATGGAACTGAACCGCGAACAGAAACGACTGTTGATGCTTCACGAGTACAAAGTGGGCACAAATGCCGCTGACACTGTTCGTCGAATCAATGAGGCATGGGGCGAAGGAACTGTTGGAAAGACAGCTGTCTACGATCACTTCAAGGACTATTAAATTATTGATTATTAACTATTGACTATTGATTATTGACGCAAACTCCGGAAACTTTCTCCTCATCCTAGTACGTAAGAATGCGAATTTCAAAAAATTTATCAATTTATGATAGTAGTGAAAAACAAAAAGTGAAGAAAAAGGGTACTTTCCGTTATCCGCCCCCAATTTGGCCCCTCAAAAAAAAACGTATTTTTCGGCTGTTTTCAAAGTTTGAGAAATTCGTTAGCATAAATCTCGAAAAATCTAAAGATGTACTTTATTTCCGAAATGGTCTCTTTGATGAGCTAATGATAGCAAAGATAAGATTTTGTTTCTCATTCAAACATTCTTACTTAACAAAGCTTTAATTTTGGACTTCTAGTAATCATTCGATAGTGCAAAATTGCGACAATTCCGATAAATTACTTTCATTTTTGAAGAATTTCTTAGCGCGTTGTATCGATCAAAGAAAGGTTGGAGGCTTCGCTAGTTTGGCATCGGCCAAAGCGCAAGGGTTTGATGCCAATGCGCGTTGCGCGAAACCTAACTTTCTTTTGGCTGCTAGAGCGCACTGAAAAATCCTTATTAGCAACAAAGTACACTCTTAGAATTGTCACTATTTAAACTGTTGAATGGCTGTTTAACATTCAACGGAAAAGCTTTGTTAAGCGAGAAATGTACGAATGAGAAACATACTCTAATTTTTGCTGTTCCAACGCATCAAAGAGGCCACTTTAGATTTAAAGCACATTTTTGAAATTTCCGAGATTTATAGTATAGAATGACAATTCAAACTTTGAAAACAACCAAAATTCCATTTTTTAAAAAATTGATCTATAAACGTTTTTAGAACCTCACAATAAACACTTGAAGTTTAAACGAGGTTGTGACGCCAGGGCCATACACCGGTGTTTCGGAGGTTTCGGCCTCCTCGTCAGTGACCCTCGCCCACATACCACTTTCCACATACGCCTCCCTCCTTGCTTCAATGCAGGGCTTAATGCGGGCCAGGGGTCACTGAAGAGGAGGCCGAAACCTTGAGACACCGGTGTATGGCCCTGGCGTACGAACCTCGTTTGGGTTTTAAGCATTTTTTTGGAACATACATTTTTCTTGAAGGGCCGCCGAACTGGGACCCGAGAACGAAAATGATCGTAAATAGTAACATTGAGTAAAAATAGGAAAAGATTCATTGATTCGACGAAGAACACGTGCCAACCTGCTTCTCACACAAAATATGACGGACTTTCACCGCCGTGCCTCCGCCCTTGGTTTCACGTTTTGCAGCGGCTTCCGCATTGTCGCTGGTCGATTTCTTCGCTGGAGCCTTCTTCGGCGGCATTTATCTAGTGAGTTTTCTCAAGAGGCTTTCGAAAAATTGAACCTTTAGACGTCAGACACGGGGATGGCAGAAAAAATCGAACAGATATGCCAATGGGAAAATTTTTTCACTCTCTCAAATGAAAGCGACGAGAACAAAGTAATATGACAACAGAAATACGAAAATAATTTCGAAATTACCTTAGAATTATTCGATAAAGCGCTAACAACGCCAAAATCGATGACTGTGTGTGTGACTACGACTACTACACTATACTTGACGACTCCAAAAGGTGCGACTCCTTAGGCCCGCGGCGTTGGTCAATCCCGGAGGGATGCGCTATGCATTCAGCTTCATTAGCCCGTACGGAACCGTGGATCCACGGCCCCTTCGTCTCTGACGTTCAACGTGTTTTATCCAAAAATGGTCTATAATGGCGTCTGCCATCGTCAAACGCAGCACGCTGGGGGTTAGAGACGCATAGTGGCCGTGGGTCCACGGTACCACAAGGATTAAATATCGCTAGGGGTGACCGAATGCATATCTAGTCTCAACAATAACTCACGGTGGCCTTCCAATGTATCAAGTCAGTCTTGCGGTCTGCCAAACAAGGCTAGTATCAGTTCGTCCAACCCGGAAGGATGGAAGGCTTGGTGGGTCATGGACATGGAATCGAACCGTCGACCACCTGTTTGTCGCGGAACACGTCTAACCACTATGCCGCACACGCCGCCTAAAACATGTTCAGATGTGAACTTATGGCAGATAATGAAAAAGTTTTTGTTTTTAGGTGGCGCCATCCATAAGAGTATAGATTTCTTCCCCATCCGAAACGCACTCGTCAACAAAGAAATGGAGCCCTTTCGTATATCAACCCGAGTGGTTGTGATCGCAAATTCGCCACCAACGTTTCTAGACATTTTTTCACTGACAACAGTAATCGTGGGATAAGAGATAGTGGTAGCGGGGCTGTGGACCCACCTCCTCTGCATCTCTGATCCCTAACGTGGCAACGCTGGATGCTCTGCTTCAATTTCTCTTCATCTCTGGTCCCCGCGTGGAAAAGCACTGAATGTATTATGGTATAATCTCAGATGTATTATTGCTGTTATTTTCCTACTTTTAGCAACATATATAGCATAGGAAAATAGCAACAATACTGCAATTGAAATAGTATAATAATGCATTCAATCCCTTCCCCACGCATAGGGTCAGAGATGCGGGCGAGATGGGTCCACGGTACCGAAAGGGTTAGGAAGCGCTTTCCATTAGAGAACGGCTTCTTCTTCATCCAAAATGCACTTATCAACAAAGAAGTGGAGCCCTCTTATATGATGAGTCAAATGGTTGCGACCGTAAATTCACAACCAACATTTATGCGCATTTTTTTACTGAAAATATAAACCGTGGAATAGGGAATAGCGGTGTGATATGTGACGCACTTCATTGAGAAGCAAGATGATGGTGTGATTCGTTTCAGCAATGCTCCCCTGCAATTTACGTGGGAATGCCTTGGCTAGGCTGCCTCCAGGACTGCAAGAACCGACTCGATCGCATTCTACGAAATATATAAATCTTGGAAAATCCTCCAGCAACAGGCGAACTCACACGCGGAAAGTTCCATAATCTGAGGAGAAATACGACGGCATAAACCAAATGTAAGAAGTATTAGGATTCACACAGTATATGTGATGAATATTCGTGTACATAGATAATAATTAGTCTACAAGAATTCCTTATTTTAGTGCTTTTTAGGCAATCATGATGCTGAATTATACATCCACGGATGCTGAGTGATATGCGAAGACTTTCGACCTCGAGCTGGAATTGAACCAGCGTTCCATCCATACCAGGATCACATACTACCAATGCACTATCATACCTCCATCAGTATAATTCTGAATAATATGTAATCCAAGCCACAGTTAAGGCCATTGAATTCTTCTGTTGTGCAGCATCACATATCACTTTTGTTACATGTGACTATGGAGCAGTGCTCTACGACATCAGGAACAATGGCTTTAACGTTGTTGACTAGGAAGTTGTCCTTCTAAGAGATTAACGCGATTCAATGGAATTCGTAACTGCTCTACGACCATAATACACAAAGTGGGGCATATAGAGAATGAAACCGGATTGCTGAGTTTAATGACGAATTTGACATAGCTAGAGGTGTTCTTGAATGCCTACATGGCGAACATTGTCGTTCCATGGTTCAGTAACGGGTTTTAGGCTGGCTAAGCCCACCACCTCTCCCAATCTATAGAGTGCCAGGCTTCTCTTTGATGATAGAAACACCTATTTGAAAAATCCAAGGAGTCATTAATCGGCCAAATAACCAGCCAGTTACCCATGGAACGCTTAACGTTTTGACGACTATACTCATTGACTTCAATATGTATGCTGATAAGGAGCGCATGTGGCGAGAAGGTTAGAGGTGCCATGCGCCGCTCACCAGGTCCTTGGTTCCATCTTGCGTCTGGGCATACCAAACTTTCCATCCCTACGGGGTCGGTAAATTGGTAGCGAATTTATTTCGGGAGTTAAACAGCACTGACTCGATACATCGGCAGATCACCACGAGTTGTGGTAAAGGCTGGATATGCATTCAAACACCTCAGACGAAGGCCAGGATTGCAGACGAATGCATGGTGCATCTTTCAGAGATTGATGAGCGCCGAGAGCTTTTAGCCTTTATGTATACTGCTGAACGTTTCGGATTGTACATCTTGACTTGAATAGGCATAAGAGGGCGTTTCAATAACTCGCGGTTTATGAGCCCTACAACGCGAAAGTGGCCGCGATTGTTAAAGGCTTAACCTAGTCGGTACGGGGCCATTTCGTTTTTTTCGTAGAGTTTTAGTAATAGCGATAACATACTTGATTTCAAAAACGCCTACTTACTCATTGTAGCAGCAAAAGAAAGCACGGTTCACCTTTGGCGCATCTTTTGCTCCGCTAAGGTCTGTGGATGACCTTGACCTTCCACCAAACTTTCAGTACTTATTTGATAACTGGAAAAACGATGTTCCTGAGAGTGAGTTGGTATTTGAAAAGGTCTTTATAGAGCACGTAAGAGCAAAAAGAAGATTACGATTCGCACTCGTAGATATGCGCACTAAAAGCATATAATCCCGTAGAAAAAATCATAGTATATCAGAATATCAAAGGAAATCTAAAAATTTTTCCAAAGCGAAGAAAAATTCGAATCATTGCCGTTGTTGGAGCTCACTTTCTGCCCTTTGAAGACAAGGTCATTTGCAATTTTTCCTTAGACTTTTAGCAATAGTTCGATAGCCTAAATCTCGGAGATTTCATAACCATAGTTCTTTCATTTGTAAAGACCTTATTAGAGTGCGAATGCAGGCGGGAAATCTGATTGAGTTTCACACTTGGATTGCTCAGGATGTTTTGCTTCCACGGCTAGGATTTGTAGATGACTTTTCATCACGTTCTAAGTACTCATTTGATTGCACAAAGCTCAGCACTGCTGAAACCAAGTTTGCTTTTGGAAAGATCTTTATAGAGTGCTTTGACAGCATAAGATACTTCGTTTTGCACTCTGATTCATCGCTTTTCGGGACTATTTGATCTATAGCGTAGCGCGATTCACATGAGACGCGCGATTTTTGTTACTTGATTCGTTTTTCCGCTTCAGACAGAAAAACCCTAGAAAAAAGGCTGATTCTGGTAACCAAGATTCTTTACGCATGCTTCTCCGTGCGTAGGTCTAGACTGCCTTGACTTAGGCTAAGTAACGAATTTGGCAATTTTAGCAATGTAAAGTGAAAATGAAAAGCCTAAACTCACAGAATGATAGGACAAAGGTTCTTCTGCTTCTCAGTACAAATAAAGTGAAAATCTTTACGTGCCAGAGGTAAAATTTCAACATGCGCGATAACATGCGCCGTGTATGAAATTTTATTTCATTTTCACTACTGCAGCGCATTAAGAAGACATTTCCAAAACAAGTACATTTTTGAAATCATCGAAATTTAAGCTCTTGAATGATCACTGGAAAATCTACTAGAAAATCGCCGTCCTACAAAAAAAGCCTCTGCAATAAGTGGGTTCCAACAGCGGAAAAGATTTGTAAAGTAGTTCAAAACAGTTACAGAAAATCAAGACTGCCGCCTTAATGGGAAATTATGGCATATAATGCTAATGGTTTTTGTTCTTAGGTGGCGGCCATCCATTAGAGAAAAATTTCTTCCCATCCAAAACGCACTCGTCACCAAATAATGGAGTCCTTTTGTATATCAGCCCGAGTGGTTGTGATCGCAAATTCTCCATCAACGTTTGTAGACATTTTTTCACTGAAAACAGAAATCGTGGGATAGGAGATAGTGGTATCGGGAGTGGACCCACCTCCTCTGCATCTCTGATCCCTAGCGTGGGGAACGCACTGAAGGTATTATGGTATTATTTCAAATGTAGCTCCAAAAAAAGAATGTTCAAAACCTAAGCGAGTTTGGTACGTCAGGGCCATACACCGGTGTTTCGGAGGTCTCGTCCTACTCGTCAGTGACCAACACCCACATTAAGCCGTGCATTGTAGCAAGGAGGGAGGCGTATGTGGTGACAGCACAGTGTACAATGCCATTATTATTTTGAATGTCTGTTGCGACGTTCTAAAAAGCAGTCGATGCCACAGATCGTGTTCCACCAGCCGAGATCCATCGACTGAGAAGTGGTGATGGACCAGTGTCATTGTACACTGTGCCGTCACCACATACGCCTCCCTCTGCTACAGTGCAGGGCTTAATGTGGGGCGGAGGTTACTGACGAGGAGGCCGAAACCTCCGAAACACCGGTGTATGGCCCTAACGTATCAACCTCGCCTAGGCTTTGAACATTTTTTTTGAATTATCTGAATGTTTATTGCGACAATTTGAAAACAGTCGATGCCAAGAATTTATTTCAAATGTGTTATTGCTGTTATTTTCCTGCTTATAGTAACACAACATACTTTCATATAACATAATAAAGAAAAATAGCAACAATAATGCAATTGAAATAATACAAAAGTGCATACAATGCTTACCTACGTTTAGGGTTAGAGATGCAGGGGAGATAGATCCACGGTCCCGAAAAGGTTAAGTAGCGCTATCCATTAAAGAAGGGCTTCCTTCTCCATTCAAAACGCACTTATCAACAAAGAAGTGGAGTCCTGTTATATGATGAGTGAAATAGTTTGCGATCGCAAGTTCACAATCAACATTTATGGGCATTCTTTCACTGAAAGTATAAACTGAGGAATGGGAGTTAGTGGTATGGTATGTGAAATAAAGACGTAATAGTGAAAAGAAGATGACGATTTGCACTCGGCGATATGCGCACCAAAAAGCCAGTACTTCCTACTGGAAATGCTACGGAAATTTCCGTGCTAATATGACGTTATCATGTGATAATTAAGTGTCCAGACCATTTAAATTTTGTTATATAACTGTTAACAGAACTCTCGGCGTTTAAGTAATGAGATAACTATACCAAACGGGAGACGTATTTTTCCCCGCGGTGGTAATACACTCTAGAAAGCCTTTCTATAACCAAACCTACTATGAAAATCTTCATTTCTCAAGCTATTGATTGATTACTAATAATCTAGTGAAAGTATCCTCTATGTAAAGAATGCAAGGAATCACGAATACATTTCACAGAATATAACTGCATTTCGCACATTCGTATTAAAAAGTGGAAATTTTCCCGAATTTTTCTGAATAACCAGGTGTTCTTTCTACTATAAAACAAGTTTATAAAAATCTCCCCAGTAATATGCAATACTTTATGGCGACAAAGTTTCTGTGAAACCAAAATCACTATGAAGAACCGAAAAATCCCTTTCGAAGTTGGGAAAATGAACTCCGATTGCAAAACGTTGTCTTTCTTTTAGTTAGTTGAACGTACTATGAAAGTCTTTTGACAAAGCAAACTCAGTAAGAAAACTATATCTCTCAAGTTTCAAATGACTACAACAACGAAACTTATCTTCACTATCACCTTTTTATAGAAGTTTCTTCTTAAATCTTTTATCAAAATCAAAGTTTCTCAGGATTGAAATTCACGATATATTATTGAAAGTTCGCTGTAAAGTGGAAACAGCTTTCTCCGAAAGCAATGCGTAATTCTCTTTTTGGTTATCACTTCGCTACTCTCAGAAGCTGGACTTATTGGTGAAGTATCCAGTTCTCAAGCTAGCGAACAATTACTAACAACATGATAAAAAGCTCCTTCCAGCAAAGAAGAAGAAAACACGAGCACTTTTCACGTAAGTGCGGTTGCATTCTCGCAATTCATGATGGAAAAGTGTAGACTTTCAAAACAACAGAGTGCTCTTTGTTCTATAAATATGTTTATAGAAGCCCATCTAATGACAGTCTAATTTTACGCAGCTAGAAAGTTTGCTTAACTTCAAAGCTCTAGTATATAATACTAAATAATCCGCTAGGGAACTGGAACAATGCACTTTGAGAGCAAGACCTTATGCTTCTTAGTAGAAAGTAATGGAAAGTTTTGCAACAAATTAAGCCAAGTGTAAGGGTCGGCATTTTTCAAGCTATCAAATGAGTGCCGAAACGTAAATAAAAAAGAGGTAATTGTTTTATAACAACTGGAAGTAAGTCTGCTTCCAAAAGATATAGTTCTTTCGCTGAAACGAATTGATTCCCGGCAGATGGACGTTTCTTACGAAAAGCACTTCATAAAAGTCTCTTCTGTGACATTCCATCATTTAATACTGTTGATGTGCCCTCACAGCCTTAGGTAAACAAATAAATCTATATTTCCGTAAAAGTGTGTTGATACGAACTCGCCGCAGGCCCGCCACCGGTCCTCCGAGATGCGTGTGTACCGAAAACAGTACATGTGGTTGCCAAGGTATTAG